CTCAGACTGCAGGCAGCCACTGATGCTGTCGTTCACCTGAGTGTTCACACATTCCTGTTCATCCACTCACTGTGTGTGTGTGTGTGTGTGTGTGTGTGTGTGGTGGTCATGTGACTTGTGTCCAGATTAAATCCAGATATTTATTTTTATATTTATTAATTTCTCGTTATGATATCTTTGGTGATTATTAATTTATTTATTTCAGATCACGGCGTCATATTTATTTTCACTGCTAGTACTTGAAGTGATAACTTACATCACAACATTTTTTATATCTTATTTATATAATTTTTAATATATTTGACAGGCCGATCATTCAGTTTGAATTTGCAGAAAACTTCAGATCTTTTATAGTTTGTATTCTCTGGGTTTAATCTGGACTCTGCTGTGATTTGACTCCAGATGTGATTTCTGATTTGTTTTTCCCCTGAAAAAGAACAAAATGCACGTCAAAGGTCTCCGAGCGTCCGCTGCACTGAAGTTATTTACATGTTTTTCTACTGAGAATCACATTCCTGCTGATAACCCCCCCGACCTGCAGAGAGATGATCGTAACAGCTGGTTCATTTACCTTTTCAACAGGTGTGTTAGTCGGGGATCTACTCCAGTCCAATCAGTCACCTGTACACGATGTATTGATTCATGGTTTTAGGCCTTTTTCGAGCAGATTTGTGAAATCATTTGGGATTTTCTTCAAATGAAGCCCTTATTTGGTGTTGGTTGGGCTTCTGGTAAAATAATATAATTAAAGAAGATGTAACGGCCGTTTCATAGACATACAAGTTTTGGATTATTAAAAATGACCTGCTGATTAATTCATAATAAAAACATCTCCTAAATGAAAACATAATTCCCGCCGTGTTCCTAAATCTGGAAAGTGTTTTTTCCAGCTGACACTAAACACAACGTGATGCATTCAAGGACACTCTCAACATCGGAGAGTCGATGGTCAGCTGCTGGAAAATAAAAAGGTTAACAGACTGAAACCCCAGAAGAAAAAGTAAACAGAAACATAATTTGAACAACAAATGGATCATGTTTGAAAGTCTCAGATGTCCAATTGTCCCTGAATGCACCTAAAGGGTAAATGAATTTCGGCTGTGACCGATCGTCGTCATTTATTTATAATCGTGGCGACTTTACTGTTACATTTACAGACGTTTAGTTTGAACGGCACTTTGTAAGATTGTTTTCTGTTTCTTCTTCTTCTCCGTCTAATGTCAGCGTCACATCGGTGAGGGGGGGGAAATGTACAAAAAAAGAAGTATTTTTGAACTGAAAAACATCCTCACTGTTAAAGGGAGCAGTTCAACATTTAGAGAAACTCTTTTTAAGGTGAGGTCAACGTTTGCTAAGAGCTAACCTGTTAGCGTCACATGCTACCTGTTAGCGTCACGTGCTACCTGTTAGCATCACGTGCTGAAAATCTGAAATTATAACTTAAGGCTCAGTTCACACAAATCTACAAAACATTTAGGAATGAAAAATAAAAACGGCAATGTTTTCCAGGAATGTCAACACACATATACAAACACATTATCCCCGTAACACATATATACAAACACACCATCCCCTTAACACCTAATACAAACACAGCATCCCCGTAACACATATATACAAACACAATGTCCCCGTAACACACATATACAAACACAATGTCCCTGTAACAAACACATACAAACACAATGTCCCCATAACACACATATACAAACACATCATCCAAGTAACACACATATAAACACAATGTCCCCGTAACACATATATACAAACACAATGTCCCCGTAACACACATACAAACACAATGTCCCCATAACACACATATACAATCAAAGTGTCCCTGTAACACACATATACAAACATAATGTCCCTGTAAAACACATATACAAACACAATGTCCACGTAAAAAACATACAAACACAATGTCCCCATAACACACATATACAAACAAAATGTCCCTATAACACACATACAAACACAGCATCCCCATAGCATTAATGGTTTTTTCAGCCACCTTTAGATAAAACTACGTGCACTTACGTATTATTCATATCTTGAACGCAGTTTAAAATACAATCAACACTAAAAAAACAGGTTACATTAAGAACGAATTACCCTTTCAAGCTAGCTAACTTGTGAATCGCCTATGCTAATGCTAATTGCTAGCATACACATTGCATGTAAAATCAAATTCACAAATGTTTATTATTGTTAATACTGTATTTCTCACAATAACAGACTATTCACAGCACTTAAGCCTAAACAGAATACTTTATAGCCGGCAAATAATGCTAGCTTTCAGCATATGCACTTCTCAAGCTAATTGAAAGGCTAATGGCTATCGTTAGCAGTAATTTAAATCCACAGCTAAACCTCAGTAACAGACCGAGCTGGACGTTCATGTGGTGTTTTTACATTTTTCTTAAACCAGTGTAGCATGAGAGCATGGTGGAATTTAGCTAACTAGCCACCCGCTAAATGAGGTAATAAAAACAAGTACTAG